AAAATTGTTGGTCAAGGTTGCTTTTTCATAAAATATTTCAAATGGGGAATAAAATTAGTTTTATAAATTGTACTTCTTAACCTTAAATCAAACAAAAACAAACAAAAAAATTTTTCATGCTGGTTTAGTTTTACATACCTGTTCCAGAGAGAAAAAAAAACCACACACTAATAAAAAAAAAAAAAAAAAAAAAAAAAAAAAAAAAAAAACTTACTGACCCCAAACTGTTTAATGGCAGTATATCCGTTTTCCATAATGTCATAGGTTGAACTCTTTTTTAACTTATTTCCAGTTGTGTGTTTCAGCTTTAGCACAATGAAGTTTGATGGACAACTAATTGCAGTTGTAAAATCCACATACCTGTACAGTTCGAAGCGCACTTGTTCTCTGACATAATGTCATTATTAATCGCCGTAATCAGTTTCTCCTTTAAAATATGTTTTTTCCTGTCCTTTCCATAGATGTATGTGCATGAAAGCACAAGAGATTTATTCACTGACATTTTATTTATTTTTGTAAGGGTATAATTATTGAAAACACTTTGTAGCAAAATGCATTTGAAATTTGTCTATTGTATTATTTTAAGCCATTATTTTCAGGTTGCTTGTTTTTTGTTGTTGTTTTTTTTAGTAAGATCTGGCAACACTGCTATTGGCTTATATGCCAACAGAAGGTCACTGTCAGTGAGCATGCATACCGTTCCTGAACAACATCATCCTCAGTCAACCTGTACTATAATCCTACAACCATACAGTACACATACAGCCATAATGCTTCAAGCGTAGTAAACACAGTATTACTATGGACAGCTCAGTTCATCATGTGCTGTGTAACTATGATCAGAGACAAAATCATCCTGGGACCATATACAGGACAAATCAAAACAATTTATTCTCGGGAAACAACAGATCTCATTGATCATTCTTGCTGCCCTTTGTATGGAGAACCAGCACACACAAATGCCATAAAACACAGTTAACCACAATCCAATGCAGATTAGTTATAAAACACACCAATTACTTTAATATTCTGAGTCTGAACACACAATGACCATGTTTACATGCACATCATTTTCTACTTAAGATTCTTGTTCTGAAAAAGATGTTTACATGTTCTAGAGCTATTGGAATATTCCTATTTACATGTAATCAGCATATTCCAAACTCCTTTTCTTTTCTGGAAATAATGGAGAAGCTCTTGCAATTTATTATGCTGCATTTGAGAATTTCTGGACATGAATTTAATCAACTCATTAGTTCTCATTCATGTCTTTTCAATAGCATGATGGCTCGCAAAACATTGGAAATTAGACTCTTGCAATGTAAGCCGTGACGTTTCTTTTATTGTTTGTAAAATGTTAGTCAAAAATGGAAAAATAGCTTTGTTTGGACAGGCAGATATAAATACACGTTCAGTTGTGGTGGATATTCTGAATAAAAATTATGATTAATACAGGAATTTGCTAGCTGCCTTATTCAGATTATTAAAACCAGAATACTGGCTTAATATTGTTATAACAATCAGGTTAATGAGTTTATTACACTCACACAACCGGAATATGACTGACATCACCAATATTCTTGCGCATGTAAAGGCAATTATACAGTATATAGATGTTCAGTTATGGTGGATATTCTAAATAAGGTGTTTACATGACCTACAATTATGATTAATACAGGAATATGCCAGCTGCCTTAATTCAGATTACAAAAGCTGAATATCTTGTTACAGCAATCAAGTTCATTAGTTTACATGAGGCTTACACCATCGGAATATGATTAACATTAGAATATTCTAGTGCATGTAAACGCAATTTATTTCTGCAGTAAATGCTGCTGTTACTCTCAACACTTTTTTGTTTGTATTTGGTAAAAATGTGCACTCACAAAGTCACAATGTCAGGTTCCTTTGATAAAACTTCTCAAGACTTCTGTACGACCTCTTAAAATCACCTTCAAACTGAAATGTTGCTAAGATTTTCCTCCACAAAGCCAGGACTCTGTTTTTCTTTAGTCTAGTAATGGACAGCCACATCTGGTGTACTGGAAGTGTGTTTATAGGGGTGTATGTAGGTGTGTTAATATTTCAGTGGGGATCAGAGCTTCATTCATCATTAGGCAGGTACAGATGAGGCTGCAACATCAGTCTTCCCTCAGTCAGAGAAACAAGCCTCTGGCTCCCAGAGCCCTTCATTAATGATTCATCCTGATGAGCTCATGTCTCCTCCAGGCAGGTACCATAGAGCCATCGCTCACTTTCCCTCAACTGCACAGAGGCCATTTGATTTTGGATGTCCAAAGTCTAAAAAGAAATCATGGTGCTACTTTGTTTCATTCCATGGTGCCCTTAAAAATTACATAGACAATGTACTGTACTATACTGCTTTTTTAATGCTTGGGGTGAGTAAGATTTTTATCGTATTCGTTTTTTAATATTTGTTACTTTGTTCAACTTAATGCATCATTGCCGAATAAAAGTAAAGACATATATAATGTTACAAAACATTTCTACTTCAAATAAATGCTGTTCTTTTGAACGTTCTATTCATAAAAGAATCCTGAAAAAAAAAAGCTATTATGGTTTCCACAAAAATATTTAGCAGCACAACTGTTTTTAACATTGATAATAATAATAAATATTTCTTGAGCAGCAAATCAGCATATTAGAATGATTTCTGAAGGATCACGTCACACTGAAGACTGGAGTAATGATGCTGAAAATGTTACTATTCCATCAAAGGAATAAATTACATTTTAAAATATAATCAAAGTGAAAACTGGTGTTTAAAAAAATTGTAAAAAATATTTCACAATATTACTGCTTTGCATTTTGACCAAATAAAAGCAGCCTTGATGAAATTAAGAGATGCTTTTCAAAAGCATGAAACAATCTTACTGACCTCAAACTTTGTATACTAACACAAAATGCATTTGTATTGTTTTTGTATACAATAATAATAAAAAAAACTATTATTTTTAATTTCACATTTTCATACACATTTAAGATAAAAGTATACCTCCATGTTTTTTAGTAGACCCCTTTTCTTGTCTTTTATTTGAATATATTTTGTTTAAAATGCAAGTTGCTTATGTTCTCATCATCAGACTATCATTTGTACAGTTCAATTTAAGTAATGTATTATGTTGCATTTCCTAATAAAGTTGCCAGCCAACTGGATTAGTGTTAATTTAGGATTGTATAATCTGTAGACAGATGAACACAATTAGGGAAGGATATGCACGGTTGCTTGTTTGTTTAATTAAAAAAAAGTCACTAAAAGAAAGAGCAGAGGCTGTTATATACTTATAATTGTTCCTCAGAGTTTAAAGCACCAGCATTATTCTATGGTTTTACTCGCTATGACAGATTTCAAAGATGAAAAAGAATCTATAGGTAGCAGATTGCATGTCAGACCTTGTGGTTTACTTCGGTTCAGATCAGTTCAGTATGTTGTGCTTTGCTGAGATGAGTGACACTATAAAAACATTCATGACCTCGTTTTGTATATCAGAAAATGACACGACAGATACTTAGATGTGGAGCATTCATGCTGTTCATGGGTATACCATGCTACACTGCTGTTTAAAAAAAATAAGTTCAAAAGCATTGATACTCACACACATCAGGATGCTTTATGGGATTAAAGGGACACACACGCTCACTCATACTCTATCATAAACAAAACAAAATTACACCATAAAGGCATATAAACCATATTCCCATGAGATGCACAGCAGCGTAAGAGTGATCGCAGCAGCAGGCAGGGACGGCGAGATGAGATACAGAGAGAGAGAGAGAGAGAATGAAAGCAGAGAATAAGGCCATGTTCACACAGTAGCAGAATATGGTTGTCAGTCCTGTTTCGAGTGCTAAACACAGTTATGCTTATATGAAGAAAATTTGACAGAAAAGGATGTTGAAAAATGTATTTTTAGGGCTGTCAAAGTTACCATTTTAATTTAATGCCAATTTTCGTGTTTCTGTTTGCTTTCTAAAGTCACAAATCCAAATATTTATTTAATTAATTATATTTTTTTCTACTGACAGTCATATTTTTTAACTTTAAGAAATAATTTAAAAAAATCTAAATAGTAATAAAGTTTTATGAATTATCATAAACATATTTTCTATGTTTATAAAATATCTTATATATTTCGGGTCGTTAAGATTTTTATTATTATTTATTATCATTTTTTTTGTATTTTTCATGTTTTTAAAAGTAATCTTTTATGCTCACCAAAGCTGTATTTATTTGATCAAAAACACAAAAACAGCAATATTACGAAATATTATTGCAGTTTAAAATAACCGTTTTCTATTTGAATATATTTTAAAATTGAATTTATTATAGTGATGGCAATGCTGAATTTTCAGTGTCACATGATCCTTCAGAAATCATTCTAATGTTCTAATATTCTAGTAAAAAAAAAACCTTATTATTATTAATTTTGAAAATGGGTGTGATGTTTAATATTTTTGTGGAAACTGATACATTTGAATATATTTTAAAATTGAATTTATTATAGTGATGGCAATGCTGAATTTTCAGTGTCACATGATCCTTCAGAAATCATTCTAATGTTCTAATATTCTAGTAAAAAAAAAACCTTATTATTATTAATTTTGAAAATGGGTGTGATGTTTAATATTTTTGTGGAAACTGTGATACATTTTTTAAAATCATGATTTATCTGAAGTAGATTTTTTGCAACTATGTAAAAGTCTTTACTGTCACTTTTGACAATTTCAATGCATTCTTGCAGAATAAGTTTTGAGACACTCAAAAAAGGCAATATTGTCTGTAAAGTTGCTTTGTAACAATATTTCTGATTATAGATGTTTACTGTTCGCATAAAAAAAAAGATAATATTTTAATAATTTGATTTGACTTTACAAAAGAACCATCATCATCATAAAATGGTAGAAATAATCTAGTTTAGAATCAAAATGAACACTACAAAACACAATGCAGACTACAAAACACTAAAAGAGACAATCCAAAGTCTTGATATTTACTATTGTTACACTATGGTTACCATATCACTACAGGCATTATTCAAGATCACACAGGTTACAGAGGATTGAATTCAGATCTATAATTATATTAACAGGACAAATCAAGAGTCACACCTGTTAGTACACTGACTGTGTGAACCCAGCCTAAGAGAGTTAGAGAGCAGAACAAGCATAAAGACAAAAGAGAGAGGAAAGAAAGAGCACCACGACACATGGCCACGATGTGTGGGTCTATGTAATGGTGGTGAGGACGGGTGAAGGTGTGCTGACGTGACGTCATGGTTGTTGAAGCAGGCCAACACGCAGAAGAGAGGAGAAAAAGAGGACAGATACCTACCCTGACCTGCCGCTATCTAGCTACCGACCTGAGGACTGTCCGTCTCTGAGCTCTCAGGCTCTACTTGAGGCTCACTCGCACCCGGAGACTGCTGGGAGTCTCCAGCCTGGACAAAGAAAGAGAGAGGAGAAGAATGGAAAGGGAAAGGAAAAAGATTTGGGAAAAAGAAAGAAGACAGTGAGAGAAAAAGAGGAAAAGGACAGAAGAGACAAGAAAATAAGCAGCCGGAAAAGGAAATCCAATAGTTTACATGCTTTTTCCTGCAACAGTAAAACACAGAAGCATAGACAGTGCTGTAAATGTGCAAAAAAAAGAGAAATAATTCATCTATCCATCCATCTATTCATTCATACATGTATTAATCCACCTTCGTCCACCCACACTCTGATGTATTCATAAGTCCCCGCACACATGCGGCCATTACCGGAGCTGTGAAAACCCCTCGGTTAGAAAGGCTCCTGTATTGTGCTCCCGCATGAAAGGTTTTGGACTAAAGCATTTTGGATTTTTATGAATATTCCCTCTGGAGCTGCACTCTTAACACCTCATCACAGTGTGTGTGGGTGTGCAGTGTGACTGACTGAGTGAGTGTGGAGCCCAATGCCATTTCAACTGGAGACACACACACGCACGCACGCACACACACACACACACACAAGGGCTAATTAAACTTTTTGTTCAGCTGAAATATAAAAGAAAGGAGAAAGTGCACTAGTCGGGTTTCCATGGCATTTTCTGATGAGTCATATCTGATAGAAATCAGCAGAGAGAAAGTGTGTGTGTATGAAATACAGTGGACGTCACCACTGATGTGGTTACACTGCATCTCAAGCAAGACTTAAAAGGATAATTCACCCCAAATTACATTTTTGTCATCATTTACTCACTCTCTTGTCGTTATACACGTTTCACAAAATAGGACTTATGACTGGTTCGCTATATCAGTAGGTCTTCTAAAACCATGTAGTGGCTTTAAACAGAGAGTCCACCCAAAAATGAATATTGCGTCATCATTTGCTCACCCTCATATCTGCTGAACACAAAAGTACACAACAAAGTCTGCAGAATAAAGAACGTCATACACATTTGGAATGACATGAGATGAGTAAATGATGACAATTTTAATTTTTGGGTGGACTATTCCTTTAAGACTCAGGGGTCACCAAACTCGGTCCTGGAGGGCCGGTGTCCTGCAGAGTTTAGCTCCAACCCTAATCAAACACACCTGAACCAGCTAATCAAGGTCTTGCTAGGTATACTAGAAACTTCCAGGCAGATGTGTTGAGGTAAGTTGGAGCTAAACTCAGCAGGACACCGGCCCTCCAGGACCGAGTCTGGTGACCCCTGCTTTAAGTGATCAACATATTGATATTTAATGTTATTTATAAGGTAAACTGCTGTGAATGAATCAGCAAGTCAATGACCTGAGAACAAGATTAGTCCAATCCATGAATAAATGATTGAAAATGGTTTTGTGAACTGGATCAAATGACTCAACAAAATGATTCATTCATGAACTGAACATCAGTACTTCTCTCATGAACTCTAATGAACATTCAGCTCAAAACACAAATCTAACACATGGGTTTCGAAGACTCCGAATACAAGCCATATAAACCATTTTTTTTTTGATGCTCTTGCATACTTTTTGAACCTTGAAATCTGTAGTCCATATTCATTTTACTGAAAACAGTTACCAGTACATTACTACACGTTATTTTCCCTTTGCCTTCCAAAGAAGAAAGTAAGTCGTTTTGAAAAAGTTTGAAACAACATGCGAATGACTAAATCATGTCAGAAATGTTTTTCTTTTATGTATTTAGACAAAAAATTGGTGGATAATATCTTTTATATATATATATATTTTTTGCTACATTCTTTATGGGTGATAATTCATATGATGAAATATAAATATTAAGGCACTATGGAAGAATCAGGCTCACTTTTAATACTTCAGCTTTCATCAGGACATGTAACAGGTCTTTATATTTTCACAATATTAATCAGGTAAGTCTGCAATCTCTATGATCTTTGAGAAATATCTCTGCGAGTAATAAGGTCATAATGATCATCTTGACAGTTACACAAGCTAATTTAACACCGTAATGGGCCCAACAGTGGTTCAAGCAAGGTAGCCAGCAGAAGACATTTTTATCTGCTGTATTCTCAAAGTCAGAGCTGATAAAAGAAACTAAACTTAAACTCTAGGGTTTTATTCTGACTGTATTTTGTGTAATGATAATAAAGCATTTATGGGATGAGCATATTGGTGAATTGGAATTTTGATGTTCACAAAAATACTTTAAAATAGTAATCTAAAATATAAATGTTGCCATATACATGCATATAAATCCTAATCTAAAATCTTGATTTTAAAATATCCATATACATACAGTATTCTATGTCAAGTAACCAAGTTAGATGTTGAACCCTTTAAAACTACATTTCCCACAATCCCGTTCAAAATAACTTACAGCATCCTCCTCTCCGCTCCGACTAGGGCTGCCCTCTGCCTCACCAAAAGAGTCATCGGTGGGCGGGTCACTGGCGTGGGATGAGGACTTTGATGGAGAACTCTGCCGGGGGGCCGGGGTGGGTGCTGTGAAGGAAAAGGCCAGAATTATGTTTAGTAATGGGCCAAACCGAGTCAATCTTACACTTGTTTATTATATTAACTGATTCAAAGCTTTTGATGTGTTGTTGGGCGACGCTAAGAAGGTATAAAATGTTTTTCATCCCCTGGGTGAATAACTAAATATCTGTTGCTGTCTGATAGGAAGGGCACTGAAATTTTCACACTTACATCAAAGACGAGGCTCATTTTTGATCAATTATACATGAAAACAATGTTCCTTTTTGGGCTCATGCAACTTTACACTGCTTCTGGAAACCATATGCTGTCACAGCATAGCGCAGTGAATGCTTAATTGTAGTTGCATTCAGTCAAGGAAATAGTCTTTGTACTTAAATATCTAATGTGTTCATTTTCATGTAAGGTTTACAATGAGTCTTTTTCTACTTGTTCTCAAGGAAGAAAAAAAACATGAATATGTATCTACATTATTTTTCAATTCAGACTTCCAATTCATTAGCTGCTATAGGTACATAACTAGATAAATAGAATAAAAGAGTGCTGTAAACAGTAAAACTTTGTGCTAATAAAAAGTGTGTTTATGATTATAATTAACTGAAATAATATGATACAAATTGAAATTTAAATAACATGAAACAAATACCGGTTTGCACCATCGATCAAACTGTTTTTGTACAGCTAAAATGGCTGGAAGTGTACAAATTGCTGCAGTTTCTATTTGAAATGTCTACAGTGTGGTGCTAGAAGTGATTTGACGTACTTCCATTGAAATAAATCAAAACAAGAAGGTTATTGGTTAATAATGACTACAGTTTTTTCCCCCTCACACAAAGCCACCAAATAGCCTGAAGACAAGATATAGTTGTGCAGAGCAGATTTTTTATTTTGTGTGAAATTTCCAACTACAAATATTTTGTTGCAGACCTATTTTAACTCTAGCATGGCGCTAACAATGCTAAAGTCATTAGCTTGGCTCCCAGGGAACACACAAACTGACAGAATGTATCCTCAATATGCTGTGTTTTTTTAAAAACAAAAAAACAAAATCAAAAATCATGTTGTGATCTCATCTGAGGTTGAATTTTGGATTTAATATTGTGGTTAAAAATCCATGTTGAGGCAGGTTTATTGTTAAAGGCTGGATCTGAATTTGAATTTAAAGATTTTAAAACACCTGGCATCAAACAGTCTTGCTGACTTTGTAAATGGTTACAGAGAAAAACTGGGCATCACACACTAAACGACTGTGGATCACACACTTTCAAGTCATTTTAGACTTCAAGTCAATCCAAACAGGCAGAAACACATATAAACATGTTTGATATTCTCTGATTCGATAGAATCGGAGTCTGAAGCTAAAAAACTGGAGTCTGTATCCAACATAAATTGCACGATTTCTATGAAATCTGTCAATTCGGACTGCCCGGAGTCTGCAGACTTTCAGCAAATAGCGTAACTCATCCAAAATGCATATCAGGGCAAAAATCTGGGTAAAAGTAATTTAGTGTATTCCAGGTTTTAGGCTGAGTAAAAGTTATTTTCTGTTGGTTTGGGTTAGATGATGTGGTTTATGCTTGTTAAAGTCACCATGAAATCCAAATTGACAATTTGTTTTTCTATAATGGAATATTGAAGTGTTTAATTGTAAATGATTTATGCGTGAGCAGTGAGCCAATGATCCAATGATCCAGTCAATACCTGATGGACAAAATCAAGTCCCGCCCAACATTCATTTTCTCATTCAAGAAGCCATTTTACTCAGAGAAACATCACAAGAGGGAAGAAAAGACTGTCACATCCCTGTTTCATGCCGACTTTAAGACTCTTCAAATAAAACTCTAACTTTTAGTGCCATTCAGTGATATTTTTGCCTCAAAACTAGAGTGAGTTGTACCTAGGGGAATGTATTTTGGCTTTTGCACATACTAGGCAAGATCAGTGTAAATAAACTTATGCATTTAAGCCCAAAACCTGTCAGAAAGTGTGGACCGAAATCCCTTACTGACACCTAATAAATGAGCATGTCTCTCATGGAGGGACTGCTTGTGTGCAAACGTGCGAAGTTCCATCGCAGCAATAATTAGCACTACAGGAGCGAGAGGATCCAAACAGGCCCAACACACAGCGCAGGACTCCCTAGAGATCAGTGATAATTACACAGCTCGCCAGAAGCACAGCTGGGCCTGTGACTGACTCTCTCTTTCCACTGCCGTCGCTCCCCACCGCAGTACTAATTGTCATTTTCACGCTGACTAAAGACAATGCCTTCTGGGCAACAGCATCAAAGCCCACCTTTCAACCTCTGAGTGAAAACGGATGCGTTGATGAAAGACGGGATGAGGTGCGAGTTTGAAGTTCTGTAGTAGGAAACAGATAAAGCCTGTCTAGCCGTGTCAGCACTCTTAAAGGCTTGCAATGAGAGAGGCGAGAGAGAGAAAGATAGTAAGTTCTTCTATGTGGGATTTGTCTTCTTTGTTGATGTACCGCATTTAGGGTCAATGGAGCTTCAGGATAATGTGATTCTGTTGGTCCTGAAATAACATATCTGATATAAAACTACATCCCTAAACCAATCCCTAAGCCTAACTGTACAATTACCAACCTCTAAAATCAGATAAATACAGTTCACATCATTTTAAAAACATATATTCTGGTCAACTTGCAACATCTAACACGTGTGTATATCTGACCTGCTCATTTTGCGTCACTTGACCCAGAAACGCATTTTGAATTTTATGCAGTCAAGTAACAAGGAAAATTGCAGCTTTCTAAAGATAATTATTATGTTTCCAAACCGTTGCTGAGATATAATCATTTAAATGTTGGCTGTTGTAAACTCTAGATGTTGAAAGAAAAAATGGAAGTTGCCAAACATTTTAGACATTATCCGATAGATTTATTCAAAAATGTATTAAATAATTAAGACATCAGTGAAAGGTTAATTGAGGTTCCTGTGGCCGTGGAGGCATTCCTGTAACAATGCTAAAAGTCATGGTTTAAGGAATGCATGAACTAACAAAATGTAATTGCTAAATGTAAATGCAGTGTAACACATTTTTGATAAAATAATCTACCAAATGCATATAAAATATAAAAATGTAAAATATAGTGTGTAATGCTTATTGATATTTGAAAAACACTTTTCTGCCCCCCCAAAAAAACCTCATGTGATGCAACCAGCATAAATATGCAGGAAAATAATTCATAAAACAGAAAATGGTATCATACAGATTGTGTGTCAAGGTCCTTTTATGACACTTTTGACAAGTCAAGGTTGGTCCAGGTCGTAAGAATGTCATGTGGTGTGATTCTTCAAAAACATAATGATATTTATAATTTAATAATTCACGACATTTGTTAAAATCATAAACATGGCTTTGAATTTGTTAAAATTATAAAAAATATAAAGTTAAAAACAATATATATATATTGAAAATAATGATTATGCTGACAAGTTCAATCATGTGTATTCAAGGTGTAAGGAAAATTACTTTATGATGTTTAATTAAAGTTCGGGAGGAGCACATTCAGAAAATCAATTAATTCAGCACAAGTGGAGCACGTTCAGATTATCAACTTAATTAGCATGATAGCAAATATATACAGCCAACTTAACTCTGTCCCACGACAGTTTTTCTGGCATCCCTCCTCCACCCCAACTCCTCACTACTAACTATTGTTATCCCAGCTTGGGGTATGGGAAGTTCTCTGGGTTCGGGGCTATATTCTGAGCTCAGAGCCCTCCCCTTGGACAGCACGCCAAATATGCTTACTATTTGCTCAATCTGATTATATGTACTGTAAGTGTGAACTCGTGAATTATTTGATGGTTAAACCACATGCAATTTTGAATTGCCCTGAAACTCTTCCTAAAATTGATATAAAAGTTTTTATTTATAAGAACATCAAACTTTTCTAAAATAACTTCCGAGTCAAAATCACAGAACGCATGGAATGAGTCTGAAACATCCTACTCACGTGAGTTGGTGGAGGGCGTGGTGGAAGTGACAGGCGTAAGGTTCATCTGCGAGATGTCGAAGTCGTCGCAGTCGTCCGTGTCTTGCGCCATTCCCACTCTGTTGAAGTAGCTGGAGAAAGCGTCTGTGGTGCTGGACAGGCTAAGCTGCTCGCTCTTCCTGGCAGGCATGGTGGGTGGCTTTGCCATCTGGAAGTCCTTAAACATCTCCTTGCTCATCTTTTCCTGTCTCTGCACCGTGCATTCTCCGTGCTGCGGACTAGAGGCCGTGGAGGCCGAGGTTCCTGCCACGGCTCCACCCATGGCTGCCGCGGGCATCTCGCAGGACACGGGCACCGCCATCGGAGCCAGTGTCTGAAACATGGCAGCAGAAAGCGGTCCTACTCTCTGGGCAGGCATGAAAGCGGCAGGCGAAAAGTGAGCCCCTGCCATCGCGGCCCACTGTTGCTGGGTGGCAGGGAAAAGGTTGGCTTGACCCCAGATCAGAGGTTGAGCGCCTGGTAAGACCTGCGCGACGGGCACTGGGGACTGGACGCCAAACGCTAATGGAGCCTGAGCGGCAAACTGTTGCTGCGCCCATGCAGGCGGCACGGCTCCCATTGTCACATAACCTAAAGGACAGAGACAATGAGACTCTTAGGGTACATTTACACAACAGCAATTGTACTAAAACAGTCGTTTGCATGGATACACAAAAATGACAAAAAACACTGTATTAAGCATGGTAGGCCAGTAGTTGGCGATATCACTTTGTAAAGAAACATAACATCTGCGCACATATACATTCATATAGACTGAGTATATAATACACATGCACATGACTTCAACGTTTTCACAAATTCACATTTTCGTAGTTTACGCAGAGACGATAACGGTATAATTTTTGTAACCCGTTCATAAACACCCACTTTGAAACCCGTTTTCAAAAGTTTGTATTTTCAGGCCATTGTTGTGTAAATGAACAGCCAAAACGCATAAAAAGTTTTCGGTTTTTAGTTGAAAATGGTGTTATGTAAACACACCCTTAGTTCACAAAGCTCTATCAAATGAGATTTTCCCGCCAAAATGCTCTGGAAATCACGTACACCTCATTACGAGCTTGTGCTGTAACCTTTAGCATTCGCTAAAGGACTTTCAGGCTGCAGCCATAGATCCCTTGATGACTGGGGTAAGATGACCTAGATTTTCATAATGAAAAAGGTCTTTATGGCTCAGATGAACTATTGTAATTACTGCTCACAATAGGCCTGGGCTTAATGAATAGCAACGCCCTTTAAAAGAGGCCATTACAACAGTCTCACTCATTTCACATTGAGGCTTATTTCATTACACATCTTGCTCTTTCTTTCCAATGAGTAACGCTGATTCAAATAAAACCCCAAATCATCTCTTATCTCTATGACATGCCACACGCACTGTGGGAGCGTGTCCAGAATATTCCGCTGTGCGGCAGAGAGGTGTGAGATCACCTGCAGCTGGGTTGTTCACACAATGGGACGCTGTGATGCTGCTTTATCTTTATCTTCTCTGTGTAGGTGTTGTCATTGGCAAGTTAAAAGAAGAATCTGTTGTATTTTCCAGAATATACTGTAAATCGCAGTTTTTATTATCTGAAATGTGCTGTCACTTCAATTCAAAAGCGATTTATACAATGCAATTAACGTTAAATACGTAAAACATGCGTGAAACGCACAGATTTGGATTCATGCTGATTGAGAGAGGTGTGTGAGCCTAAGTTAATTTGTATAACACATTTCCCAGACACCGGTACTTTCAGTTTCACTGTAAACTAATTTGTTTCTTTTATACTTTTATTTTTCATGTTCTGTTCTAAATATTGTTAAATATATGTTGCGGAGTGAGAGAAACTAAAATGCATGTGTATAGTGTGTAATGTTTGTAAATGTTTCACTTTTTTACTGGTATTTTACATAATTTCTGAATGTAATAATAAAATTTGACATACTTTGACTAATCTATGTTTTCTCATTAATTTATTTTTTTACAAAAATATGGTAAATATTTGATAAATTCTGTATATTTTTATTTTCTATATTTATTTACGATACATAATATTAAAAATATAAATATTATATAAATAATAAAAATTACATTTGTTATTTATTTATTTGGCATACAATTAGGGTTTAAATTAGCATTTAAAAAGCATTTTAAAACAGGTTCATTTACACTAAATTTACTTAGAAGCAGTTTTTAACGAAACATGACATGAAATTCTTCCCTCTTGAGTTTACAGTTTTCTGTGCTGGTTTGTAGTTCTTTGTAGTTTTTTTTTTTTTTAATGTGTCCCTTTGATTGTTTCTCTAGGTGTGTTTTATTTCCTCATTAGCCCTTGTCTGTAGGCTATCTACAGCCTTATATATGTTTCCTAAGTTCTTGGTCAGTATACGTGTTTTCTGTTCTCCTGGATTCTGTTCCTGGAAAGTATGCTGCATTTAGATCCTTGTTTCCTCTTGCTTCCCTGGATCTCCTCGTTACAATAATACAATTTTGAGCATGTTTATTTCTGCACATGCGGTACAATTTCACCAAAATATCAATGTAGCATTTTCTCGCTACTACACTAATAGTGTAGCTTGTTATTGGAAAAGCTATCGTCACACTACTGAAAAACTAATGTTAGCAGTAGGGATATGCCGGTATCAAATTTTCATGTTGCGATTAATTGCTAATGCTTTTATTACGGTATACGGTATTATCACGATATTGAAATTAAGTTAAAAAAAAAGTGCTGTCATAGTACAGTATAACAGGGTTAATAACATTTTTCTTATAACAAAAATAACTGAACATTTAAATGCAAAATTAAATTAAAGTGCAAAAGAACTATAAAGACCAATAGGTATCACTTTACAATAAGACCTCATTAGTTAACCTCAGTTAATGCATTAACATTCACAATGAGCAATAGCTACATTTGCTACAGAAGTTATTAATCCTTGTTTAAAAAATACAAGTCTTAGTTCATGTTAGCTCATTAAATAACACAGCTGCAACTCTCGATTTTAACATCCTGTTATTAAATATTGGAATACCTAAGATTAATGAATGTTCAGAAGAATTTTTCATTGGCAGTTTATGTTAACTAATGAATTAACTAATGTTAACTAATGAAGCCCTAATGTAAAGTGTGACCGAACAATAAAGAATCAAAACACTTTCAAACAATATCTAGGGCATGTTGTAGTCCAGATTAAAATGTAAAAAAAGTGTGAAAATAAATAGCCTATTAAGTCTAAATATTTAAGTATTTGGCGCTGTGATGAACATCATAGCAAATACACAAATCTGAATGGCTGTTTAAATCATTTAAACACCTTTCAGAAACAGAAAGTAGTGCAGCTGCTTTGTTTACAGGGTTTCCGGGGTAACGGCTGCATTTAAATGAATTATTATTATTATTATTATTATTATTATTATTATTATTATTATTATTATTATTATTATTATTATTATTATTATTATTATTATTATTATTATTATTATTATTATTATTATTATTATTATTATTATTATTATTATTTCATTATTTCTGCAGTTTAGCGTCATCTGCTGTCAGAGAGTGAAAGTGCGTTTTCATCCAGAGCGTCTCTCACATGTTCCACCATGTGCTTCTCGTCCGCGCTTGTTTACATCAGAGTGCGCACGCGTCTTTCACGCAGCATACAGAGCTGTTGTGCATTTTGACGAGTTGATGGGAAAAGTATTCTTAAAATGCATTCAAAATTCGGAATAATTTGTAATATATAATTATTCACGGTATTTAGAAGTGCCCACGATAACAATATCGTGCATATTCATTACCGTGATATATCGCATTACCGAATACCGGCACAAGTCTAGTTAGCAGCATGTTTTACTTTTAGCTAGTTACTCTTCAACCTATGATACTAACATCATGTCACTGAGCTGTGCACCTCATGTGGGGATGGGAACATTTGACACAAGGTAACATGATGGATCTGATGGCTTCCGGTTGGAAAAGACAACACAGCACTGGATCCATCCTGTCAGCTGTGAAGTGTTCCCATGCAATTGTAGTAACGGTTTGTGGTTTTCTCAAGGACCAGCGAGTGGGATGCCTGGAGAAGTTCTATATGTGAATTTTGAAATCTGCACATGTCCATCATCCAGTCAGGTAGCAATGGGCCGTCTCATCATAGCAGCGCACCCCTGCACTGGTCCATGATGGGCTCCTGGCAGTCATTTTGAGCTATGGATCCACCATTTTTAAATGGGATGGAATTATGGGTTGCCATTCAGGATGCATGGACAGCAAAACCTGGAGCACATCTCTGGTATCCCGCGGATATGTCGAGGACTGGACTACACTAAATTAATTTATTTAATAAAATAATGTTTTAATAAAATGTTTTTTATTTAATTTTATAATGTAACTGTTTAATAAAAGCTCAAATTCATGCTATTTTGTAAATATAGAAAGCAGATAGTGACTATATAGCGATTATGTTCACATACAGCACAGCTTATGATAGGTTTCTTAAATTATATCATAATTAAGCAGTGTGTACTTATTCAGCTGATTTATGTTCCATTAGACACCATTTAACAGACAAGTTTCATCCAAAGTGACTTACAATATACTGCCAGCAGGGCCAGACGCCCCCAAAGCACTCTGGGGAAAAATTCTCTCTTGAAAAAAGCCAGAATGATTTCACAAGGGTGAAAAATATGCTCATGCTATCATAACTGAACTGTGAGAATCCCATCAGGACAGGTGTGTTGGATTCAAGCCTGGTGTTTATGAATTTACAACACAGAGGGGAGTTTGACTGAGGGAAAGAATTGAAGACAGATGGGACAGATGATACACTACTTGATTCCACACATATCAATGTTGTAGTGTTTACTGTTTCAGAGGGAGTCAATCTGGCTGGAACAGATGTCCCAGGGAGAGCAAAATCACTGCACAAGGGCTATTTGTTTTTAATAACTGGTTCAAATATCATGATGCGAGTGTTCCTGTAGAATTTAAAGTGGTAGCACTTTACAATACAGAGTCCAATGTGTACAAAATTATCAGAATTTTACCAGTAAATGACTGTAAAAATGCTCTGGTAAAAACTTGCTAATTAGTTAATAGTGGGTTCCTTTATGCAATACGGTATAAAATTGTCATAGATTTAACTGAATTTGGATTTAATGTAATTTTACTGGAAGATACCATTACATGTACAATTTTTGGAAGTGAGAAGAAAACCTTTAAATTGACATTGCCAGATTTAAATGTGTGACACGCGACATTTGATGGTTTTTCATTTAAATAATTATGTTTGGTATTAGTTTTTTTCTTATCAGTTATGTACATTAGGGCTTTATGTTACATTTTATTTCGTTAAATTAATATTTATTGCAGTATTTTAGCATCATGTTTGTTACCATGATGGTGTTTTGAAAAAAAAAAGAAAGATTTTATGTAGTATATTTAATTATTGCAGTTAATTTCAGGTAACTCACCATCATGTTGTTCCAAATCTGTATGACTTTCTTTCTTCTGCAAAACATATGTGTAAAAGAAGATGTTTTTTGAAGAATGTTTCAGCTGTTTTGTCCATTATAAAGTCAGTGGGGCTCAAATCAACATTTGGCACTAATTAACTTTCACTGTTCGGACAAAATCACTGAGACAAAAAAAAAAGTTCATACAGCTTTAAAAAGACAAGAGGGTGAGTAAATATATATATAAAAAAAACGTTTTTTTCCCCCCCTTTAATAATATAATGTATATAGATGTACAAGTTTAATTAAATTATGCTTAAAATATTTTAAAATGATGCTTAATAAATCGATGGAAGCAGAAATGAATCACGATTAAAATATTATTTATCATGTAGCCCTATCTGAACTGAACCAACACTGAACTGATGTTTATCATTGTGAGGCTCCACAATCTGTATTGTATAAAGCACTGTAGAATTAAAGGTGACTTTACTTAATTTGTTTAATTGAATTAAAAAGCGAAAATGGTGATGAAAAACTAAATTCTGTCCATTTGTGGTGCAAAAAACCTCGACTAAGTGGACATAAGAGAAAAAAATAGCATAATAAAAATGTATGATATGACCCCAGAACAGATGTGCATGTTAAAAAGACATCATGCACTCTCTCTCTCTCTCACACACACATATAGAGTACCACCAGAGTAGGTAGGGGTAACGCTGTGTCCTCTACAAGGTATTTATCATGCAGATCAGTACAGCAGCCAGTAATGAGAGCATTCATATTCTACAGCAGGAGGACAGGACACCTTATTTAGCCAGAACCAGACAGACACATTATTTAATTTGCATCCGCCCCGTTCCATGTCTCCTTTATCTGTTTTCTTGGTATTATTTTCTCCTGTACACACACAATGTCTGAAAGAGAAATCTCTCCTACCTGAGGGTACAGAGGCGGGGTTGAAGGGGGTGAACAGTTCGGATGGAGTCTGGTGGGCCAGCGTGGGGTCCAGAGTATTAGCTGGAGATGCTGGGGTCTGTGGAAGAGGAAAGCAGTCTAAACAGAAGCTTTATAATAAACTACATTTGCTCAACAACTTGCTCAACTGTATTCGAAATAACATACTGATTACGCTCAAAAATTCTGTCATCATTTATTCACCCTCAAGTTGTTCCAAACATGTATAAGTGTCTGTTGAACATAAAAGAAGATATTTTGAATAATATGGGTAACCAAACAGTTGATGGTCCCTATTGACTTCTATAGTATGGAAGAAAAAAAATACAATGGAAGTCAATGGGGACCATGAACTGTTTAATTTCAAACATTCTTCAAAATGTCGTCTTTTGTTTTCAGCAAAATAAAGAAATTCATACAGGTTTTGAAGAGTAAATGATGGCAGAATTTTCATTTATGGGTGAACTATCCTTTAATTAGAATGCAGTATACACTGCAATATGCGATATGATAAAATTCCATTCTGAACATACTCTTACTATAATATTTTAGCATCTAGAGTCACTCACCGAGGGGGACGTGATATCAGGAGGGGTGGACATGTCTCCAAAAAGCTCTAACTGGTTGATATTCTGCAGATGAAAGAAGAACATTTACCAGCATAAAATCAGCCGTGTTTCACCTCAGCACTCACTGCCATGTCAGTCTAATCTTTGTCACAGAATAGTGAACCTACCTTGGGCAAACAGTGGTTTGAATAAGGTGACTTGAATAATAAATGATAGTGAGATAAGTAATAAATTATAAAAGTTACATAAATGATAGCGGGTTGCTATAAAATGATGTAAAAACACAAATGATGATGATGATGACTCCTGTACCTGCCAGCCATGTACAGCACACAACTATCTATCTATCTATCTATCTATCCATCTATCTATCCATCCATCCATCCATCCATCCATCCATCCATCTGTTTTGCTCCTCAGGCAGACAGTCGGCTCAGTTCCACAAACCATTTCAGGCCTTTCCATACAAGACCATGGATTTGCATAAAATCACACCATGAGCTAATTTCTAGGAAGATAATGAATTAATTTCCTTGGGATATATTTTGTATTCAGGGTTATTTCTGAACAGGGGCATACCAATCCCACCAGGATTTCACAGGACATTTTTCAGATTTTTGTGGCCAAAAATTACTGAATTTGCTGCAGCTTATTATTATTACTTTTTTTTTTGCAGTGAAAACCACCATAAATCATGATGTACTTATCAGATTGTACTGAGGTAACCAGTGGGCAGAGGCTTCTTGCTGTTAAAGGCCTCAATATATGTAATTTCAAACAAAATCAGGCCAAAATGAAGTTTGTTTGTAATTCGCTTCTGTTTGTAATTCGAATTGCAGAGCTGGTGCAAACATTTGCACGTCGCTACATGATCAGACGCTTTCTTAACGGCTGTTTTCTCACCGCTGTCATTTTTGTAGTGTATTTATTTTGTTATTGAGAGGAAAGTGTGCAGCACATGTTTACATATTCATCTGAACGCTGCTCCCGACGGCATGGGCACGTTGGGATGTTCGCTAACAGTATATCGCTGCTCAGGTATTTCAAACTTCTTTTTACTTCTTTTTAATGAGTATTATGGGCCTTAAAGCAGACATTTTTCATACTTAAAAAAAAAATTATGATTATTTCACAAGTGGTTGGAGGGCAAATGCCTTAAAGACGAAGAGGACAGTTACAACGGTCGGTACACCTGTTTTCATTTGTGGTACCGTGTCCTTGTTGAGTCTGTTTATCAGAACCTGGAACAGACAGCGTGCTGCTAGTGGGGAGCAGCTGAGCATTTTTCAGCTGTTTAAAGAGACTGGCACATGGCAGAAAAGCTTTTCTACACTGCTTCTAAAAAGCCTTTCGTACATCCATTTGCTTGAGGCCAGACCACAGGGTTCTTTCCTAAAAAGCTCTCTTTTATCACACCCACATCTACAAAAGGGCTAAAACACATTCTTTATGAAAGAATAATTGCAGTCTCTTCTCTGCGGTCTCTTCTCTGTCTCTAATCTAAAAAAAAATTAAAAAAACAGCACACACAAGAACACGACTATGTGCGTGACCTTTGAAAGCACTGTAAAATCTTGTGCACATGGTCACATGGGGAGAAGGGCAAGAGGACATTTCTCCAGTTTATTTATGAACCACACGGTTAGCATGGGAACACAAAATCCAACCTATTCAACAGGGTCAGACTGCGGTCATCTATAAGATCTCTGTCATTTGACTATGAAAAAGAAAGGTCGGGTATGAGTAAGTAGACTACTTCCAGTAGACTAGTGGAAAAGGTACAATGCATGAGACGAGGGATTTAGTAGAGCTATAAACTGTTCATAGTGATATAGTGACATTTACTTTCCCGTACAGGGACTCTACTGGAGTCTAGAATGGGCCATAGTGCATTACTTATTGCTTTATAGCTAGATTACAGCTAGAGGAATTTTCTAGTACATTTACAATCAAAACGACAGCTTGGAGGATCATGGGAAGGCCAGGGGGGGGGGGAAGAAACTTCAGCCAATCACTGTCCACCTTACCTGGGTGACCAGCAACAGGTCAGTGTCTAGATCCAAGAGATTGACTTGTTTGTTATGTTTGTTCTGCAATAACATGGTGTTAGATGAAAGATGAGATGGGACACACAGAAAATGAGGTAAAATGAGGTCTGTTTTGGAATGGTGAATGTGAGTAGATGGGTTGGATGGTACTTTACCTGTGCAGGTGAGGTTACACCTCACTATTAATTAATGTTTTTTTTTTTTCCATTTTAGCACATTATGTCTCAAGTGTGCAACAGGGTTGAGCCAAACACAAAACTGTATTTATTTTCACTAACTCACATCCCACCCCATAGTCCTAAACTGTAACTGGTGGAAGGCGGAATAAATTTTAACCAGCTGTCAGTAGGCTTTAATGGGAAAATAATGTGCTCAAATGGGCATCCCTTGAGATAACATGGGAAGAGCAAAACACCATGAACAACAGCTGCTCCTGTCTTACATTATGTGCTGCCGAAAAAGCAACATAGATGAGGAGAGGATCTTATATGAAAGGAGAGGATGGGTAAACCTTGAATTTGATAAGAAAACCAAGATCCCTTTCTTCGAACATGGTTTACCTGGTTAGCCGGATAAAGTGTCATGCGCACACACACACACACACACACACACGCACGCACGCACGCACGCACGCACACACACACACACACACACACACACACACACACATATTCACTTAGTGCCCTTGATTGAAAGTATATTTTTTTGATAACACTTTACAATAAGGATCCATTTGTCAACATTAGCTAACTGCATTACTTATAAATAAATAAATAAATAAATAATCTTTGTCACTGATAATTTAAACATTTACTAATACTAGTGTTATTGCACTATTATTGATTTACAATTACAGTTTTTAATATTTTGAATTATTTTGAATGTATTTTTACTGTATATTTTCTGTTTTCAATTTAATTTAGTAATAGTAGTTGTAAAATTTTTGTTGTTTCTTTTTTCAGTTAATGTTTACTTTATTAACAAAACTGTATGGTTTTAGTTTGAGTCATTATTACAGTTTTAGGCCCTGTCTAATACATTTTTTTAAATAAAAAGTTGTACATATTAATAGTATTTAATGGACCTGAGATAACGAACTAATAATGAATGGTTGTGTGTGTGTGTATATATATATATATATGTATTTTAATCAGTCAGTTACAGCATTAACATTAACTAATGGGACCTTATTTTAAAGTGTTATCATTTTTTTAAGGTGTAAAACATGATACAGTATATAAATGTCATTACAATGGGGACCAAGGGGGCCCATTTTAAAAACCCAAATTAATATAAAAACAATAAAAAAATATAATATAATTTAATAAAAAATACTATAAAATACAGGAAAACAAATATGATAATTTTCAGTTTAAAGTGCATGATCTGCTAAAGGCATTACTCGATTGGTAGACATTCACATTGCTTTCTGTCACAAAAGAAATCACCCAGGCTTCTCATGTTGTGCCGAAAGTTATCCGGCTAACCAAGTAAGACCACAATTAACACTGACAACATAATACACATACAACATCTAGACTAACAGAAAAACATACAAACAACAACAAAAAAAAACCACATACATGTAAAACATGCAATAAAATCAAGCAAGAGCTGACACCAGGTCAGTGGCTTGGTTTGGAGAAGCAGGTGACACTTGAGATGGCTAAGTCTGAAAACCTCTCCGAGTTAGCGCTTGCTGTTTCAGTGTTAGCGCTTATCTTTAAGAATGAAAGGATGTTAACGGGAGGCGTCTGAGAAAGGTAAGCCGAAATAAGCCAATGCTAGTGACATCTTATATCTACTAATTTTGTGGAAATTACTGAAATGACAATCATGAAGGAAAGCAGTGGAGATGTGATAGAGAGGGAAAGAGAGAAATCAGTTTTGGATTGTGTAGCTTTCTTCACGATTAAGACCACGACAATCAGTTCAGCTGTATGACATTGAAGCAGCAACACTATTAAACACCTCATTCATACAACATGAGCAGAACTAATTTCAGTGTTCAGAATGATGCAACAATCTATGTTTACAAACAATTTGAACTCAAATTTGTTCCGCTTGTGTTTCATGAAGAAGAAAAAACAAAAATTTTGATTTGTTCCTGTCATGTTTTCAGGGTGATGGTGTTCGTCTCACTTTGTTTGATTTTGAAGGTCATTGAGCTGGAACCGGCGTTTTATACTGCAGCCTGTAGCTGAATTAAACGGCTATAATATTACCGACCCAAGAGATGCCATCAAATCAATCTCTTTACGCACCCTTGGGGATCACCATTGAGGATAATGGGAAAGATGACAGCTGGGCCCCATAGTGATGAACTGTGTCAGTCAAAGCGTCCTGCATGCTGCTGACACCTTATTACTGATGGATATCATGAGTGCTGATAACCACCTTCTTATCTGTTATTATAACAAGCTGCCTCTCATGTGGAAGTATGACTCACATGATGCATTGTAATTCCATAACTGAAATTACAGTATTTACACTAAACTGTCTCCATGGCAACATTTAGAACAGTGCTGAGGGTAAACATTACTATTTTATGCAAATGCATGAGTATCTGGCTTATTTTGCCACAATCCATCAGTCTACTTTTCTATCATCATTATCACTTCAAACGACTATCAATTAATCGTCCCCTCGGAGATAATAATTATCTTCGCAGTGTCCTGTGCGCTTTTAGTGTTGCCCATTTCATTACGGCCGGAGTGTTAATGTCTTGTGCTCTGACTGATCATATAGCCACAGGCACGAGACTAACTGGGAAGCACAGCTATGAAATTAAATAATACATGGAGAGGTAGTAGAAAAAAGAACAACACTAATGAGTTATTTAAAGCAATGCTTCAGCATAAATACTCTTTATCAACAAATCACTTTTTAAGCAGCCAGACATATAATGGAGGGAATTCACTAAGAATAAATAGTGCCCACTGAGAGTATCGTTTATTTGCACATGCTTTGTTTTAGCGCAAATTTGTTCAAAAGAAATATGCAAATTAATGCGCAAACAAGCACAATGCCAATTTCTGTTGTAAAGGATGCAAAACGAAACAAAACAGAATAAAATAAAACAAAAACAAGACAAAAAAAAACAACAACAGAAATTAAACAGAATAAAACAAAACATTAAAAAACACAACACAAAAATGAGACAAAACCAAACAGAATAAAAATAGAATAAAAAAAAACAAAACACAAAAAACAAGACAAAACAAAGAAATCAAACAGAATAAAAAAAACAAAACAAACACACACAAAAAATAAAATACAAAAACAAGACAAAACAACAGAATAAAACAAAACAACACAAAACAAAAAACAAGACAAGACAAGACAAAACAAAACAATAAAACAAAACATTAAAGAACAACAACAACACAAAAAAACAACAAAACAAAAATAAATGAATAGCTAATTTCCACTCTTCTTCATTATTTGATCATTATTTAATAATAGCTCCTTCCATCATTGGTAGTAAATGTACACACGTGTCTATTTTACAAAAAAATCTGCTTTCTGGAATTTTTATAATTAATTTCACAACATAGCCCACAATGGTAAGCAAATATTGTTTTTTTTTTTTTTTTGTCAATAAAGCTCAATCTATAATTAAAATGTACATTACACAATATACAATTCGTTTTTATAGAACAGTATGCTTGAGCTAAAACGAATGGCAATGACAATAGCAGAGCAACTGTTTAGTGAATTTGCATCATAATGTGTGGCTAAAAAGAAATAAAAAATAGTAGAAGTGCATTTAAAAATCATTCAGAAAAATAAACTCAGATCCACAATGTGTGTGCAGATGCACAATACAAAACAGATTTACAGTGGTTCAAAAGCCAATTCTGTAGAGCCGAGGGAGTTATTAACGAAGCGTTGAGAGAGGTGGGGCATAGAGGACCTACAATAATGTACAGTATTTGAAAACAGTTTTTTGAACATTAAAGCTTGTCAACATATTCTGTTACACCAAATACACAGAATAATGATCTTTAAAAAAGCATCATATGACCCCTTTAAAGCTGTGTAGATTTTGCTTAGACAGGAATGAAAAAGCTGGGGAAGGCAGGATCAAGAGGCCAGACGACTTAGATTGAAATAGGAGAGAGGAAGAAGGCTGAAAATGTGTGTGAGGAAGAGAGAAAAGAGTGAGTAGGTGTTTGAAAACATGATGGAAGAGGCGAGAGGAAAAGATGCCAGACAGTGGCACAAGGTGATATGTGGGGTTGAGATGAGGAAAAGCCAAATAAAACATTATTTTCCAGGTCTGGAGAGACCTAAACAACTGAACACTGAGGACAGACTCAACCAACTTCAGGGACTTTGCTGGGGTTGTATGTGTTGTGATGGTGGGTGTATTTAGCTGAGCTAAGACTGAAAGAACAGAGCAGCTATAACACAAGAGAGGTACAGACAGCAGAAACACTGACCAGAACATGAAACGATCAGCCATTTTTACATATCAGTATGTAAATGTTGAAGCCAAAAGGCCTGACAAGCAATCGGCCACCATTTAAAGAGAGAGAGCAAAATTCACTAGCATAATCTCAGTACAATCACAGATGCATGAGCACAAATCAAACATTCATGTTTGCTGTCTCTCATTTAAATGACTTTATCAGCCAACCCATATAAGCTACACATACTTTTCATCTTTTATTGTAGATCATGCATGATTAATGGGCATTCATGGTGTGGCAATGAAGGGAAAGTTCACTGAAAATTAAAGTTCTGTCATGTTGTTTCAAACTTCAATGACTTTAATTCTTCAATGGAACACAAATGGGAAAAAATATATATGTCCGGAGTTGCTCTTTTCAATACTAGAATCTTCAAAATACCATAAAAATGAAAAGATTTTTCTAAGAAAATAAGATTGTTGAAGTACATTTTGCAAGAAAATACTATTCCAGGTTTTCTACTTCAAAATGTAACATTTAATTCGATGGTACTTGCAGTTTCTTTGTAATTGTTTGTGAAATCTACTAGCAATTTCTGAGAGAAAATTGTTTCTATATAAATGTTTGTTTCAGTGTATGACTTGTGTTGTGTATTCAGGGTTTTCAGTGAATACTGACTTACATTTCTGCCTGTTTGTCACACAAAACTCATATCATAATCATATGATATTATTTGTGAATCATATGGACCATTTTATGGTGCTTTTATGTTGTTTTTAAAGCTTGAAAGCTTCCGACTCACTGACAGTCACTGTAACTGCATGAAAAAGAGAAAGTATATTCTTTAAAATCTCAGTATTCCATGGAAGAAATAAAGTCGTACAGGTTTAGAATTACATATGGGTAAGTATGAGAGTTTTCATTTTAGGTGAACTAACTTGATTCACAAGGCTGGAATGCCATCAGCTGTCCTTATCATGGGGTGAAGACAAGCGTACATCATGCAAAACCGACCAACCACGTAATGCCCACAACCCAAACAACTAGATTTTCACAAAGAAAATGATCAGCCGTCAGGAAACAAACACAACCATATACACAACCAGCCAAAAACACACAAACACCAGGGGAAAATGAAGAGTGCACAGTCTATGCGATTTACTGTAAGCCGGGGAATGAGTGCTGCTGAACTCCTCACAAGACTCGAGACAGGGAGAGGGACATGCTTGATGGTTGGTGGTTTACATACTGTATTGAACGGTTTGCCAGAGAGAGGCACAGGATAGTCACATAAACAAACACACACAGGTCCACTCACTGGATGTCGCTTTGGGACGTCATAAACTCCCTCCTTTTGTTGGCTGGTAGGGACCTGGTGTGGACAGGGAGCCCAGCCAAATGCACAGTTAACATGACAAGTTACCATTAGTTCAGATTTCAGCAGGAGATTTTACAAGGTCAATGCAGAATGCAAATTTTATGCTTCCTGCAGAGCAAAATGAGTCATTGTCTGTGTATAATGTGTTGTGTTTTAATTAATAATGAAATGCAAGATGCAAATAGTAGAAATTAAATTTAGCTTGAATGATCATTTCTTTATGATAAATGTTTTATTTATAACAAAGCAAATATTTATAATACATATTTTAGATAAAGCTAAAAATGTATTTTATTTTATATTTTATTTTATTGAGGATTTCTCAATTCATATAATCTGGTACCATCATTTTCATCTTCACAATACACGGTATTAAAGATGCCGATCCTTTCATTCTCTGTTATTTCAATGTCTTCTCTCTCTCTAATTTGCCATTGTTCTTAATTTCCCTCTTGCTGAGAGACTGATTACCGCTGTGTATTTATTTGATCGTACACTTGAAGTGATCTTTCCATTTCTTTTATTCAAAGATCACACAGTGACAGCAATGATTAATCATTCTCACTCTTTCATTTGGAGAAAGGGCAGAGGAGAGACCTGCTGCTTCCTCTCACAGCAGAGTCATTTCTCTATGCAGACCTTGGAAAGCTCCCTACACTCAGCATCAATCCTTCAGTCATGCTATGCAAAGTTTGCCAGAGCCAAAGCCACTCGGGATCCAAGGGGCCTGCTGGAGGTCAAGGTTACTTTTGCTGCATACTGTTACCTTTGGTTAATGAACTTATCTAGCTATGAGATGCTGTATTGTGTTATTTTATGAGGTTTAGGGACATATAGATATATCTCTTGTTCTGTTCGTTTAGGTTTCACTAGTTCATCGCTGTTATCAAATATCAAAAGTGATGTTCACGCAGATTCAATTTGACTGGGCCAGTCTGGCTTTTTGATTGATATGAGATGCGATCAGGTGTTAGCTGATACTGGTTTTAAAGATGTGACAGCAAGCAGATGCCTCTTTTATGCTCCCGAGTTTCCGATATCTGTCCTGATGTCAGCAACAAGTGCAGGAGTTTGTGATGTGTCAGGTTAGCGCTCGAGAGCTGTGCACACATTTGAATAGTTAGAAGGTATAATTCGGTCCCTAATGGCGTTTCAAGCTTTCAAAGAGCTACTAAACTGACTGGGACGTTAAGTCGGATATGGATAAAGTTGTGGAGGAGACAGACTGCAAAAGTGTTGGTGGCACTGATGTGTTTATTGTTTTGCTGGGCAGTGTCTCTTTTTGATTCAAGCCACAGGTGGCAAAACAAAGCAGCACCTGGGGATACAACACCTGCTGTTGTCATGGTCATGGCGCCTGGAGCACGAAACATTGCTGGGTGTAAATCTTTGAAAGGGCCGTCACGCTGAATTAGTGTGGCTTGGTGTAGCACTCTGTTCTAATTCACAGGTGGGACTCTGGCAGCTACACAGTGGAGCTGTCAGCAGCTGCACCATCAAAACCTGGGATTCTTCTAAAGTCTTATCTTTATTTAGAGGCTCCCTATTGGCTGTTTGTTATCAAAACCGGTCCTTGATAGCTTTTAATGATATAGGTGTATGTTTTATGTATAAGGTTTATCAAACTGACAGATTGTATTTGTGTGGTGGACAACAACCGATTTTAACACTCCCTAAAAAAATCACCGTAAATGGTTTTTCAAAGTTGTAAATAAAACAAAGATTATTGGAGTATATTTTACAAGAAATTACTATTTCAGTCTTTCTACTTCAAAATGTAAAGTTTAATTCAATGTGTTACTTGCTTTTTTTTTGTTGTGAAATTTACTAACAATTTCATAATTGTGTCATAATTGTTTAAAAGAAAATCCTACACCAAGTTTTCAAACAAGGGAATACTCTGAAATATCAATCAGATGAAGTAATCCTTGAAAATGTTTTTACTTTTTGTAATTACAAAAATAGAGTATTTATGAGAGACTATTTATTAATTAATTAATTAATTAATTTAAGTGCTTTGGGCAGAACTTGTAAAATAAGTATTTGACAATATTAATATATTATATTAGCATACATTATATTGAAATATTATTGAAAAAATATTATAATATAACATTATAATAATTTATGAAAAACTTTTGATTTAATTAGTCTATTTTCATACTTACAAGAAAAACTTTTCCACATTTTTTAAGAATATTTTTTAACTCTTAAATTATAAAATCCTCTTTTATAGCTTAAAAAACTTCCAATTCTCTGAACTAAAATGCTGTCACATTTTCAAATCCCCCACAAACATAATTTTATCTAGAACTATATTAATAAAAACTAAATTGTTACTACTGGTGAATGTCTTTTATAGTTTTCATTGCACACTAATATTGAAATGTCTGATTAAGTGATTATCAGTAAAAAGTACCTTTATTAAGAACATTTTTATGATTTGGTAGTGTACCTGATATATGCTCTCCTCTGATTGGTCACGGATGGGCTCGTGTCCCGCCTCAAATACAATGTACTACAACATCGGCAGCAGAGGAAGATAAAAAGGCAAAGGGACAGGAAAAACGTGAGTGTGAAAAGAAAAGAGAAAAGGAAGAAGACTGATTGATCACACAGAATCAACAGCGGCCCCAGGACCAGCGCAGTGACCCTCGCATCAATGAGGGACTAAACGAAGCTGTGACATGGTTACCATCTTGACCTTTAGCAACATGCACTGGCCTAGCAAAGCATTATGGTCACTTTAGGCCATCTTTCACTGCAACTACAACTTCCGTACAGAGAATAATAAAAAACCTTTCGGAGGGAAGAATTATTAGGTGTTCTTTCTAACCCATGCCTCATGCATATATTCAGTCTTTAAAAATTTTATCATCCCAAAAACATTTTTTCTGTGTATCTGTACCCATGTTTCTGTACCTGCAAACAGGGCGATGGAATGAATTTTACAACATTAAAGAGAAATAAATCACAGTGTAAAACACAACGCTGCATGTTTCTTTAATGAGGCATGCTAATGTTAGCTTAGCAGGGGTAACAAAACTTTCCCAGTGTTGGTCTGCATTTGAAAAGCTAGCCACTGAGCTTTAAGACTATTTTTTAAAATGGCAGAACCGTTAAAACCCATATCTGTGATATATTCCTCAATAACACACATGGACCACACAGAGAAGAAAGCGATTTTTGGCAAGCAGCATTGAAGCTAATCTCTAACTCCTGTCTTTTCAAGACCACATTTGCACTAATAGCAGAATCGTCTCCATTTTCTGTGACATTAGATCTAATGGCTTAGCCGTTCCCATTTACAAAGTACTGTCGCCATTGGCTGATTCATTTTGTTACACAGTTAGCCATTGGCTAATTCTTCTCCTCTCCAGCCCTCTTAACAGCAAATTGTTAATGCTTATCAGGGCTGCGCTACTTTTAGTAATGACTGAATCTTAAGCTAACTGCTAGGCCTAGAAGCAACGTTTCTCATTTCTCTGCTACTTTGTTACTAACGGCTAATGGACATCCAGGCTTGCTATTTAAAGATACACTCCAATCATATACATTACATTCCATATTCATTACCATTATGATGCACAACGGACAATACGGAAAGTCAATGTAATGCATGTAAACACACACACACACACACACGCAGCTCAGATGAGATGTGTTAAAGCTGTCTGTTTTCAGTACAAAATTAAGGAGGCTCCCAGAATCACTATTGCATCAGTGTCTTAAACCCAATTTATAAAAAGGAAAAGTTAACAACACATCACAGCGATGATTCACCGTTTATTTCTATCTACAAATGACGAAATACCAGGTCTTATTAATTCAGGAGGAGTGAGAAGAGAGAGAATGGAGAGGAATTATTTATTTCTGTAAATGAGATTAAACGCATATTATTGAACAGGGAGCCCTGTTTAAAGTGACAGTGAGAGGCACACTAATTTGACAGCATACTTTCAGGCAGACATAATGATTAACGTTTTATTTCAAAGCGTTACCTGATACACGGGATCCTCCACATCTTCCTCCAAAATGGTCTGCAGGAGTGATCGCACAGAGAGGGGGTGATTGGAGGAAGGAGAGTAGAGAAAGAGGGAAACGGGAGAGAAGATGACGACGAGAAAAAGCAGCCAATTTTTGGTCATTCATGTCAAAACAGAGGAAAAGCATTTTTGACATCAGACAGTGAGAACAGGAACACAAATGTAGATTTTGTCTCAATTGAAAAAGCAGTGTGAAGCAAATCACCCGTCAGAAATGCACCTGAGATTCAACAGACAGAGAAAAGGGAAAGAGCTGCCAGGTGCTTGGTACGCATTATACGATTTTGCCTACTAATGTAATGTTAATATTGATGTTATAATTAATATTAGATGTAATATTTAATACACATATAGTATGATATATATATATATATATATATATAAAAATATATATCTGATACAGCAAAATATATTTACTGTATCAGTATAGAAATGTAATAAATATTACTATGCTATTAAGTATTATAAACTATTTGTGACATCAGTGTGCACCCGGCCTCATGTAAATCTAATTATGCTATTCTCTGAGATAAATAATAAATAAGCCCTCTCGGAAATGTGTTGTTTTCTGTATTTTCATCCTTTTGTATTGCATATTTCATTATTCCCTTTGGAGTTTGTTGTTGTTTCTCTTTTACACCGCTCTCATTCGCCGGCACACGTATATGCAGTTGTATTTATGACCGAGCATTAGAAACTGTAAATTCTCTTTTTCTGCGAGTGTGTTACCTGATAAACAGCTTGTTCGCACTGCTTGTCCTTCTGAGCTTTCTTCTCGATTTCTTCCCTCTGCTTAATCTCATAAATCAACTGGAAAAGGTCACGGAGGTCAAGGATCACAGGCTCAGCCTGGGAACACACGCAGAAACACACGCAGAGAGTCACAGATTTATAGAGACAAAGAGGAAGAAGTGACATGGTCTTCTCAATAAGGGTCCATATTGAAGATCCGCTGTATTTCTTCAAACAATTCAGAGCAAAAGACATAACAGAGTATCAGAGTATCTTGGAAAAGACATAATAAAGACCTCTTAACCTCTGCTTCGGCTGCTCTTAAATCTGCCAGATGAGAGGTGACAGAAGAAAGTGCTTTCCATTTAAAAGGGCTGGGTCAGATCAAACTTCACTCTTTGTAGTTAGCATCAAAGCTCCATGTTAGCATTAAAAATGCATCTCCTGCCCAGCACAGCCTAAATGTCACTAATATCTCAGTAAATACATGAATGAAAATCTGAAGCGAAAATTTGTCCTCAAAATCCGCCTTGGGTATTTTTCTGCTGCCTGTTCCAGAAGACTCACACCAATGAAAAGCAATATGAGAAGATGTAAGAAAGAAAGAAAGAAAGATTGTTTACAGGAAAAGACATGAAGAAAGACATATATATGATATAGTATCATTTCATCTTTCAGTAGTGTGGTATATGGGTGTTTCTTCAACTATTTGGCCTGTTTACTTTTAGAAATGAAACTGTTTTCACAGTTTTTCATTGTTTATCTGTTGTATTTAATAGTATTTCATGTTGGAAATGACATTGTAATAACTGGAATAAAATGGCCCAAAGGCTAAAAGCTTCCTAGATACACACGATTAAATAATATTTTCACACTTTACGCAAATTTGACAAAATAACAGCTTGATTGGAAATTAAGCACAATACAAATATTAGAAAAGACTTTATTAGCAGGACGTTTGTTGATTGTGGTGGAAATGACACAACAATTGAGGGATAAGATAAGATAAGATAAGATAAGATCAAATAAAATATGTTTGTTTTAAATATAATCAAACCCTGGAACATACAGTTGTCCGAAAGTTTCAAGAAACACCCAAAAACACCATGGTATTTGTATCTAATACCATCACTCTACCACAGTATTGCCATAGTAAAAAGAGGAGAAAGAGGAGAAGAGAGAGAGAGAAAAAAAAGAGAAATGTGGAGAAACAGCAGGACATTGTCACGATCTGCTACAGTGCGGGAACACGGAGCAAGGAACGAGGAGACCAAGAGTACAGAAACCAAGGAATTTATTCATCTTCACGGGGAATCACACGTAGCACTGTAGACACAAACAATACCGGACGCTGGAGCACACACAGGGAACACTATTTATACACACAGGATGAGGGGATGACGAGACACACCTGGGAGCAATGAAACATCATGGGAAACACCTGGGACAAATTAAACATGGGAAAGGAAGGCACATGAGGAAAACAACCACAAAACACGGAACAGAGTCTGACAGACATGACAACATGAGATTGTGATAATTAATATACTGTATGAGATCCATAACTATGTCAAGAGTGAGTGAAAATAGTTTTCTGGTGGGATGGAGCAGGCGCGCAGGAACATGCTGCCATTCTTTTATCTTTATGTGTTTGCTGGGTCACTTGTAGTTCAGAGCAAGAGAGCAATGGATGGGGGGAGAGAGAGGACAGCAGATACTCATCGACCTGGTATGGAAATCAATTGAGCAACTGCCACAGAACTGCAGCACTGCAGACTAGAGCAATGCAACAACAAAGAACAGCAGCAGAAACAAACAACAACAGAGACAAAGACAGAAACAGAGTGAGGGAATGAACGCAAGACAGAGGCACAGAGATCAAGTCTTTCCAGAGTAATGGAAGCTGTCATAGCAGCAAATACACTCACAGTTTTTGAAATATACTTTTGGACATATAGCGTATGTACAACACACATATACACAGTCCAATTTTTGACCCTTTTCATGTATGTTTTCAAGTACTTACAGACTGAGCCGTTTTGATGGCCACAAACCGATGGTTTCCCTCTTTCCCACATACATAACCAAAGGCTCTGTGGTCCGTGATATCTTTCGCAATGTAGGAAATCTCATGAACTGCATGGTGGTGCTGAAGAACCTGTGGACAAAAAAACAAAAACACAAAATGCAAATGTGAGTAACACAACCAGGCAATTTTTTTTGGTAACAAACTATATTAAAGAAAATGACACCAAAATGCAGTAATAAAATGATCATAATAATGCTTTAGCTGAAAACATGCTGCTGTTCTAGCTCATATCATACTAAAAATAAAAATAAAAATAAAAATAAATATATAATGAAAAAATTAAAGCATTTGACGTTTTTTTTTTTACTGAAAAGCGAGACTTCCAATCATACATGCAGCCACCATATTAACCTTATTTTTTCTCCTTTTATTTACTTACAAATGGTCCACATTTATTGTTTTTTTCTTTTTTAATTATTATTTTATTTATTTCATTTCATTTCTTTTAAATTCCACAGCCTTCTTTTCTCAAGCATGATTTTTTTTGGTGCCTACCTGATTTTTGCAACTGACATAAATCAATTGAACTGACTTTTATGGTCAACTGAACCCAGGTGTGCTTCAAAACCTCTAGCGTTACAGCAACAAGGTTATACTTAGACATTTATTTTTGTTATTTGAGTTCATACTTCATGCCTCCCTTTAAAAAGGACTCAAGCATGATTTTTTGGTGCCTACCTGAGTTCTGCAGCTGCCACTAATCAAACAAACTAAGCTTTATGGTCAACTGAAGCCAGCTGTGCACCAAAACCTCTAGTTTGAAAGCAACAAAGTTATATCCAAACACAATTTTAAATAAAAAAATCCAAGGACAGCTAGAGAACTTCAGAAACGGCCTTCAAACACCGAATGGACATGCAAACGAAGGGGGACATTAACCCAGAGAGGGGGTCGGAGGTCAGAAAATAGGTCAAAAGCTCGGAGCGAGCCATCCTTCAGGCTGATGGCTGAAACACCAGGGCTTCGGCACTAGTGTCAGCCTCCTGCTGCTGAAGAGCAATCATCTGCTGAAATCTACTGCAAGTGGCAATCTTCCCCTCACCACCCACTTCATCTAGAATCATTAAAACATCACTAACACAATACACACGCCACACGGGGAAGGAGAGATGCACCCCCATGGGCCCGGCAGTTAACTCGAGAGTTGCAACAGTGGATGACATCTTATGACAACCCGTCTGACTGTGAGGTGCTATTTTCTCTGCTGAAACATAAAGTGTTGTCAGTGACGTTTTAAACAAACTTTGAGAAGGAGGTTCCTTTGTTAAAAAGTTTTGAATGAGGTTAATGGGCAGCTTTCATTATCAAACTAATATCATGTGCCCACGCAAAACTTAATGATTTCACACTTAAAACTGAACACGTGGATTTTACATTTACATTTTCAGAGGTGTGACAGCCCTTGTGAAAATGAAGTACACTTCAGCATACTTTTAAAAAGAGTACTTATAATATACTTGTGCAAAAGACTATACTTGTGCAAACTGAATGTAATGTTTCCGGGCACTTAATTGCATGTTATATACAATTACTCTAAATTAACATGCATTTTAGTTTAAATGTATAATAAATGTAATTAGTTGAACTTAAGTAGGAACTAATTAATTAAATGTACAATTTCATAATTCCTTCTATTGTCTTTGAAATATAGTTCAAATGTACTGTCCAATGTACTGACAAGCATTTGTGGTAAACGAAATAATATATTTAATGCCATTTCTATTGAAATGTGTTTGTTTTGAATATATCTGCAATTACACAATTGTAAATGATTGTGCAATTTAGCTGATTTAAAGTATATTTACTTCAAATATCACATAACACATAGTTTAAAATATAATCAAGTACTTTACATGTGCTTTAGATGTTAGTCAACACATCAAGTGTACATCAAGTGTACTTCTTTAAAGCATGGCAAAAGATTATTAAAACAATTATTTAAAATATATTTTAAAATAAAACTTATGCCCCCGGTTTCACAGACAAGGCTTACGCCTAGTCTCAGACTAAAATGCATGTCTGGGCTGTTTCAACTGAAAGAAGCTTGTAGTGACATATCTTTAAATATGTCAGTGTTATTGATTTGTCTCAAGATGCTCACCAGAAATGTTTTATTCTAAGGTACATTTATAAAAGATACTTAAATGTCCTAATTGAACTGCGGCCTAATCCTGGCTTAACCTAAGCTCTGTCTGTGAAACCAGATGACATTATTATTATGAAGCACACTCTACTTAATTACATTAAGAAAGTTATAAAAGTGTACCCTGTTTAAATACACTTAAAGAGGCATTTTATTTAGTTAATTTTCCATTATTTGCAAATACAGTTATTTAAAAAAAATACTTAATTTGAAGTACACTGAAAGTGAACATTCAATACAATGCTACTTTTTTTTTTACAAGAGAGTAGCTTAGCTTTTTTAAAGTAGAGTAGCTTTTATCTTTCTAGCAGCATTCAGTTGATTTTAGTAGATTGGTTTGCACGTTGGAATGAATTGGTTAAAAAAAAAAAGATTCACTGATTGATTTAATTCCCTGTGCTGGATTATACGCGAATGCTGCTTGTAATACAAAATGAAACAGTCCCACCAACTGCAGAATTTAATCGTTCAAGTGCTTTTCTAGGTTTTAGATGCAAAATCTTCGGCACATAACTGTGTTTCCATTCCATCTGGGCAGTTTAAAATTGGAAGCATAGAAAATCCTTGAAAGATGAATTACTTGTGTGCCAATTCAATGCCAGCCTTCCTCTAACTAGTTCACAGAATGGAATGTTTGACGCGAGCTGGCGTAGCTTCATCAGAGCAGCATGGTTCAGATTGCTTCCCTTTGTGGCTTTCAATCTTTCATTCAAATCATGACCCTACGGCCCCTACGACCTCTGAGGTCATGCCACTGCACAGATAATGTCACTGTTACCATGGTGATGATACACTGAGCATCACACTTCTAGGACCTTTGAGCTAGAGGTCAGAAAGAGGACACATTACAAGAGGAACCATATACATGCTCTTCACGTGAAGGCTGTTCATTATTATATTGCCTTTCAAGGTACAACATTCTGGACAAAGCATTAGCTCATGTATTTTTCTCAGAGAAGTCCTCCCAGAATGCACTGCATTCTCTTATAAAGTACACAGAGGCCACCCATTTTTTCAGTGGTAATGGTTCTGGATGTACTTTTTCACATGAACCAAGCCAACCAGGTACAAGGTAAATCATGAATTATTATATGTTATCGAATTAAACATAATTGAATAAAATTGACTTAAACATGATGGAGATATATAAAACTTTATTGTATCTATAGAAGCTAATCATTTTACTTTTATTGCAAAATATGCATAGTGGGCGGAGCTAAAGAGCTCATTTGGTGCACTTTGCGACTGGTGGAATTTTCTGTACAGCATCATGGGTAATGTAGTTTTTCTCCACCAATTTTGCTGTTAAACGTATATTTTAAGAATAAATTGAATTATTGATGGTGTAAGATTTGAAGAACCTCAGACACTTTGATCTTCTGAGATACGGACAATACACACACAGCGTATTAGCATACAGACATCCGTCTCGACATCTCACTGAGAGAAGATGCGGGAAAAGCTCCTTTTTCACCCATCCTTTACACCCACTTCTTTCCCCTCACCCATCTCCCTTCACTCAGCTCACTCAGAATGGTCAATAGCATAATATAATGTGCTACATGAATGCAATATTCACAGTCATGTTTGGTATCATTCGAATTGTCTCCGTGCGACTGGTACAATGGTATCAATCTTACAAGAAGTAGACTAAAAGGTAATACAGATCCTAAGAGTTAAGAGATATTTTGCTCACTGTAGAGGGTGTACCATTTCCCAGTGTCTTTCATGCAAATTACCATCTGTCCCCAAAAGGTGTAAACTATACTTGATCAATGCAAATTCCAATTGTTAGTTCCTGTCTCCATTTGGAGGATGTTTGTCTTGGAGTACTTAAGGAAATGTTGCAAGAAGATTGGTGTACTTCTGTAGCCAGATGAGCACGTAGTGTGGAGTGTGTCCACACACTCTGTACTATGTATTTTTCTGAAAGTCATCTTTAATCTTAAGCGTGATTAAAGGGCGCCAATGTGAGTGTGGACACCGACGCGCAAAACGTGAGGCGTAAAAGCGTCATTTTAAAAAAATTACTAATGAGATTGGCGCCTTTGTTCACGTGCCTGGAGCTGCTGAAGTTACAGTAAAACACGACTTGGTGGCGCTCAAGCACAAAACGGTCTTGCCGAGCACACATTGATACCTAACAACGAAGAGGAAGTAAGTAGACCAAGAAGATGCATCGAGGCAAGATGAATGTAGAGCTGCTGGTTTCATTGGTGTCTGAACACAAAGGGCTTTATGACAAACGCGACAGCGACTACAAAAATCTCGATAAGAGGGAGTTGTTATGGAGAGGAATTGCAGATCAAATAGGATTCGATGTGTACCGAGGTATTTCTGTTTTCCATCTAATGTCAGGGAGTGAATTTGCACGTTCCCTCGGCTCATCACCAGCGAAAATCGCTTGGGTATGAACACAAAAGACGCGTCCCGGTGTGTACGAGGCTTTAGATTTATCTTTGAGAATTTGATGTCTTTGTATTGATTTGATTTGATTTGATTTGATATCTCTGAATTGACTAAGCAATTGGCATAATACATATTTACCTGAACGATAATAAATTGTTACATTTCAATTGATTCTGTTTACTCTGAAATTATTGCTTCTAGTAGATTACGTTGTATCCTTGTTACCGCACTTCTGCGTCAGGTTAGTAACAGACTAAAATCCAGTTGAGATGGAGCATAAGGCACACCAACTGGATCTTTAGAGATCCGGCTAACACTTGGTATTAGTGCAAGTGTACCTAGACAATAAGGGCTAAAAGGGAATTTCCGTTTAGGTCAACTGGATGTTGTTCAACCAACCTAAATAGGGTGAGCCTAACCTCTGTTTACTGTAATGCTATTCTAGCTAAGTGTACATGGGAAACCATGGCACGACAAAACCAAAGCGACTATCAGAGAAAATAATGCTGGTCGGCTT